TTATGCAAGTGATCGCAAAAGGTAGGTGTAAAGCAACAACCATTCATGCAGTTAATGACCTGAGTAGTTCAAGTCCTGTGCAAAAACGCATGATCGCACGGGCCCGCCTGGTGCGTTTCAGCCTGGGTTTTATTACCAGTAAATGCGCCTAATCTTAATTTTTATGCATTTTTGCTCACATGCAAATGCAAAACGCATATTGTGACGACCCTGGTGTGTGTGTATGTGTGTGTTTGTGTGTGTGTGTGTGTGTGTGTGTGTGTGCCTGTCCAGGAATTTCAATTCGATACCTAAGCAACCTCCAGCGCCAAAATTTTTCCAGTGAGTCCCCCAGCCAAGTGCCACCTCAGGACCACGGTGCAACACTCGTCACGTCGGGAACCGCGTACGAGCGCGTGAAAGTTCTGGCGAGAAAAACGCTAACTCAGGAACAAAAAGAGCCAAAAAGCTGAAATTTTGAGTTATGTTCCTAGTCCACATAGAACTCGAAGGTTTCAGATTCAGCCCCCAGACATGCATGATTCCCGCGTACGGCCCGGTAAACTTTCTTGGCGAGAAAATCGCTAACTTGGGAACCAGGAAACATTTTTATTTACTGGGTTTCCGAGCGATTTCATTACAGCACGAAATACTGCAAAAGCGCATGATCGCACGGGAGAACCAGTGATTTCTAATATTAGTGTACTAAACTGCGGTTTCAGATACATCCTATGCTTCACAGAAATGTAAAAAAATGCCTTAAGCTGTAAAGCTGCAACGTTTTGAAAACTTGGACAAGCGAAATATACACTTCTTTCAGTTCAGGACCTAAGTTTTTAGTCGTTTTGATACCCTACGATGGATCTGTCGCCTTCAAACTTCAATCTTTTGTACTATCAGAAACTATCTGCCCTTAGGCTGCTTTTTTGCTTGACTTTTAGGGGTGACTTTTCGATAAATATAGGCTTGACTTTTCGATAAATATAGCATACAGGCTGGATTCTTATTCTCTCTTCTCTCTCCTCCCGCCCTTCCTTCACGTCCTGCTTCCCTTCCAGTGCTTCATATCGCTCCCCTTTTTAATTGTCTCCTTTGTATTGTAGTCTCCTAGAATTGAAAAATCCCATCATTTACGTGTCGGGTGAGAAATTTCACTTTTATTCGCGGCTGAGGGTTTTCAGCACTGCAGCATGCCTGGTAAACGAAATAGCCACCTCGCTACAAATATTTTTGACGTGCTTTAGGTAATGGCGCAAGCGCAAAATCTCTCCAAAAGACTTGCATATTTCTTTAAAAAACCCTTACATGAGATCGAGATTTACAAGAACGATGATTTTAAGACGGGATGGTGATACAGTGAATGGAAATACTGTCCCAGAATTTCAGCTTTTCAGCTTTCCCCGTTGATGAGTTGCAAGTGGGCGACAAAGTTTACCCACTTTTCTGACAATGTATGCTTTGCTTACTGTAGCAGCGTTATTAGCGCATAAAAACGCATGTGTTTTATTCGGATTCGTCATCCTTCTCTCTCGGTACCTTGCTCATCGTCCAATTTGCACTTTCACTGAACGTCTGGTCAAGGAAATTTCCCGATACTTCATGCAAAATCTACGGTGATCATGCGCTCTGGAGATTAAGACTTTACGCGGTTCTTTGATGTAGCACCACTTCGCTATTGACGCTTTTTCCCCTTGCATGCAAGGAAAGGCTAAATTCAGTCAACATGAATGCACATGCTAAACTGCTAAGCAGCAACCATTCATCCTATTAATGATTTAATTGCTTAGCGCATAATCATGCCGAGAGACCTTTTGCATTGCTGTCTGGATTTTATAAGTGTTACTACTTCAACTGAGAGATCATTAACAATATCGGCCATTCGTTTCTGATGCTTATAAACTTTCGAAGGTACTGCTAGTTTGCAGATGGCTCGACTCGCGATTTGGCCGACGTTCACCTAACGCTGCTTTCGGACGCCGAGTATTTCATGTTTAACAAAATCTGGTATCCAGTTTTCAATCAAAGCATTTCGATTTACGGCTCCAGTGGTTATAATAATATCACGGAAACGGGTTTGTGGCAGAGCTTGAATATTGTGCATTTCAACTCGACCGCTTATGGAAACAATGTAGGAGCACGGTCCACGTAAGTATTATGTTATTTTTTTTTTTTGGATATTAGGCTGTGCATGAAAAGAAAGAATATAATTAGACAAATTATTAAGGTGTGAGGTCCATCTTAACCTAATTACTCGCAGCGTTACTGAACCGTGATCGAGAAAACCAGAAAAGAGCAAAATATTTAATCAACTTTCTTTCGTTCCGTGCCCAATGAGTTTCCACTTTCTTCCCTGGCTGTTTGGTACCTGATGATAATGCTAACAAAACTGTTTATCGATCCTGCAGCATAAAGGTAAGAAATTGGAGAATACTATCATTTCGGGAGAAAAGATCAACAATTAGCATCTGTTTTAGAGAGGGTAAGAACGCCACAGCAGTAATGAGCCAGAATTATGTAAAATAACAGATGTGCCTATTCTAGGAGCCTAATGAACATGGTGAAGTATGGTGGCTATAATATGGGCGGTCAATCTCATTCTTATGGCGCGTTTTTGGAACTTGTGCCGTCGTGGTCCCAGTTGGTCACTGGCAGTGTCGGGTTTG